TGAATGGTGCTATAGTTCAGAGTACTATTTTGGTTATTAATATTCAAAAATAAAAATAAAACTTTCAGGCTCAAGGCATAGTAAATTCTATACAATTTGGAATTTACTTTTAATTCCCATTGTATATTTTTTTTATTCTTCTATAGTTTTGTTTTATTTACAGGTTTTGAATGAAGATTTTTTGAGTTTGATACAAATTGCAATTGAAAGTTACAAGCTTGTGCCTATGGTGTAGAATAATATTAGTATTATTATTATCATTAGTATTAATTATTATTATAATTGTTTTTATTTATCTTGGCTTGGTGGACATATCAAGGAGTAGGGTTTATGGGAGCCTTAGTTAAAGGACTCCACATCTATTATTTGAAGTGGTTGATTATTGAATAAGAATATGAATTGATTGTGAGTTATATCGAGAGAGTATACAGTTTATCTTTCTCACTCGTACGCTTCTCTACATCAGTTGGTATCAGAAGTCAGCATGATTCAAGATGTCGCCGAAGAAGGACGACATCGACGGGCGTGATGCCATCATCGAATATCTGGGTCGACAAGCCACGGGCTTCGACTGCCAGATCATTCAATTGGATCGTCGGGTTGAGGATCTTTCAACGGGGATCGAATAAGTGCATCTTACGATCAACAACATGGTTTTGTAGACGAACCGTGACGCCAACAACCGACAAGGGCCCGGTGTTCGCGGACGACGACGATCAACGCAGCGATAGGGGCTGGTGCGAGGAGGCAGCCTTCGCTAGCAAATATCGTGTCCGGCGCGATTGGGGACTTGATCGCGAATATGGTCATTGGGAGGGCCCGTTTTGCGTTGACATCCCAGGATTTGATGGAGAGAAAGTTGACGGGCCATTGTACGACGGTCCACCGATCTTTGATGAAGAGCCTCTAGTGACGGAAAAAAATATTTGCGGGGACATGGGAATCGATGAGGATGCATTTGTCTGCATGGATGGCGATAACTACAAATTTCGTAGTAGATCAGTGTCAATTGATGTAGATTCGGATATTGCTACATCCATTGCTTATGATTCTTGTGATAAGTGATATCACGCTTTTTGTGTGGGATTTGATCCTGAAGGCAGATGTGTTTGCTCATGGTTGTGCCCAAGGTGCATTGATACAATGTCTTTATCTAGAAGGGTCTTGGTATCTGTTGCTGATGTTGGTAAGACAGCTGTAGATGTATCCCTGTTTGATGAAAATTAAGAGAGTGTTGAACTGGTTGGGCGACATTCAACCTTCGTGTTCGACCGGGGAAAATAATGGGGGTTTCCTACCATGGGTTATACACCACGCCGGCCACAGGTGCGCATCGGCTTCGAGGGCGAAGCCTTCCGAATTGGGGGAGAATGATGTAGATTATTATTATTATTATTATTATTATTATTATTATTATTATTATTATTATTATAATCATCATCTTAGAAAATAAGTTAGGAATTAAATATTATTATAAGAGATCTTGTCTTGTTGGACAAGTTAAGAATAGGGTTTAGGAGCCTTATTTAAAGGACTCCCTATCTATTGTCTTAGTTGGGTTGATTATGAATTATTGAATGAAAAGATGAATTGATATTCGTGTTTAGATATTCTTGAGATTGCGATCTCATTAATATCGTCCCACTCGTACGCTTCCCTACATCAGCCTATAAGGAATTGATCATCCTTTGCCAGGTTCTACTTACTCTATTTTATTTTTAATTGAAGAAGGAATTTGAGGTAAGTTGTGATAATTGTTAACTTGTTTGAAAGTTAGAATGATTCCGAGAAAACAACTCTCTGGATATCAAAAGAGGAAAAGAAAGAAAAATAATGAGGATATAACTTAGTCTTTGAAAGGTTTAATGAACATTTCACTTGAAAATGACATGACGAAGATAATCAGACTGAAGTGGAGTCGGTAAATAATGAAGAAAATATGACTGATAATGATAATAGTGTGAATGAAGATACCGATGTTCCAAGTGATATCAAAATTACAAAAACGAGGCTAAATCTTTTGAAATTGCTAGTGAAGCGAAAATGTTTGTAAACATCTTTGATCCTAGAGTTTGGGATTCTTTAGATGAAAAAATGCGATGTTTACTAGTGGAAACAGGGCTCAAAAGAGAATCCAATTTTCAATTTCCTCTTGATGGAATTTCTAGGCACTTTTCTAATGCATTTTATGTACGAACAATATCAAGTGGAGAGATTTGTGATAGAAAATGGTTAGTATACTCGAAAGAATTAAATAAGGTGTTTTGTTTTTGATGCAAGTTGTTTAAAAATATGCATTCAAGAGAAGTCAAAGCTAGTGATGGGAGCAAAGATTGGAAACATATAAGTACAAAGCTTATTGAATATGAAAATAGTATCGAACACCTTTCTAACATAAGTGCTTTGGTTGAACTAAAGACTAGATTGGAAAAGAGTCAAACAATCGATAAAGAATTGCAAGATCAAACAAAAAAGGAGACTTCACATTGGAGGGATGTAATGCTTAGAATTGTTGTTGTTGTTAAATGTCTTGCTACAAACAATATGACCTTTCGTGGAACAAAGAAAAACCATATGAAGATTCAAATGGTAACTTTTTAGGCCTACTGGAGATGATTGCGGAGTTTGATCCAATAATGCGAGATCAATTTCAACTTGTTAGAGATAAGGAAATTCATTATCATTATCTTAGCCATAAAATTCAAAATGAGTTGGTAGCTACTTTAGCATCTAAAGTGAAAAATGTGATTGTTGAAAAAATTAAAAAGGCCAATTTTTTCTCTGCCATACTTGATTGTACGCCTGGTGCAAGTCACAAAGAGCAAATGACTTTGATTATAAGATGCGTTGATGTGTCAATCAATCCCGTACGCATTGAAGAGTTTTTTTAGAGTTTATACATGTGGCGGATACTTCTGGTCTGGGTCTTTTTAATGAATTGCAAGATGTGCTCAAATCACACGATCTTGATGTTAATAATGTGAGAGGGAAGGGCTATGATAATGGCTCTAATATGAAAAGAAAATATCAAGGTGTTCAAAGAAGATTACTTGAGATAAATCCTAGAGCTTTTTACATGCCTTGTGGTGCTCATTGTCTTAATTTGACACTTTGTGATATGGTTAAGTCTTGCTTAAAAGAAAAATCTTTTTTCGGGGCATGTCAATGCATATATACAGTGTTTGCAAATTCGACGAAGCGTTGGAGTATTTTGCTTGAATATGTTGATGGTTTAGCTCTAAAATCACTTTCTACTACGCGTTGGGAGAGTCATACTGAAAGCGTCAAAGTGATAAAATCTCAAATTTCCCAGATAAGAGATGCTTTATTTAAAATAGCTGAAATTAGTGAATATCCCAAATTGAGTAGGGATGCTGGAAGCTTAGCATCAGGCGAACTTTCTAGTTTTCATTGTTTATTGAGTTTGGTTATTTGGTATGATGTTTTGGATAAAATTAACTTGGTTGGTGAAACATTACAATCTGGGGACATGCGTATTGATGCTGCTGTGAAATGTTTGAATGGACTTGTTTTATACTTAGAGAAATATAGGAATACTGGATTTGAATCCGCTATGATTACTGCTAAAGAGATTGCTGATAAAATGGGAATTGAACTTGTGTTTCCGAAAAAACGTCGTATGTGTAGAAAAAAAGCATTTTGATGAAATTTTGAACACTGGTGAAAGAGAGGAGCAGTCAGCTCAAGAATTATTTAGAACTGATTATTTTCTTGTTATAGTCGATATGGCTATTTCTCACTTAAAGAGCAGGTTTGAACAAATGCAAGTTTTCCAATCTATGTTTGGTTTCTTATTTGATGCGGCAACTTTAGTTTCACTAGATGATAAGGAATTGGAAATATCTTGTATGAATCTTGAAGTGGCTTTAAAAGTTGGTGATGTTTCCGATATTGATGGAAAATGCTTATGTTCTGAATTATAAGTGTTACAACTAATGTTACCTGATGAATCATAAGAAAAAAAAGAGCCATGGACATCTATTAAAATAATGCAATTTGCAAAATATATGGATATGTTCCCCCATGTTATGATTGCTTACAGATTATTATTGACTTTGCCTGTAACTGTATCATCGGAGGAAAGAAGTTTTTCTAAATTGAGGTTGTTAAAATCGTATTTGAGAACAATTATGAGTCAAGAGATTGAACGGGTTAGCTATTCTATGCATCGAAAAGGATATTACTGAAAATCTTGATTATGGAAAAATAATTGGTGATTTTGCCGTTAAAAATGCCCGAAGGAGCCTTTTTAAGTAATTCCATTCCTATTATTATTATTATTACTACTATTATAATTATTTTTTGGAGGCATGGTGATTATTTGATGCATCTAAAATTGTTCTCGAGAAAGTGGAAGCACTAGTCACATTATCTTTTGGAAGGTGAAATCGCCTCGAGACATTATCATTTTGTATTCACGATGAGTTTTGTATTAGATCTTTCTTGTTTTTAGCTTTGTAATGTTTTGTTTTTAGCTTTTGTAGAGGGGTTGTAACTTGTCATGAACTATTATATAACTTATCTTTCTTTGAAAAAAAAATTGAATGTATTATTTGAAATATATTATTCATTTTGAGAATAGACAAAATATTTGGGGCATTATTTTTTATATTTGGCCCAAGACCTAATATTGTTCAGGACCGGCCTGAGCCTGTGTGAGTTTGTTTCTCCGATTTGTACCAGAGTTTATGTTTCGTGGTAGTTTTTACGAGAATCTTCTATTGTTGGACAAAACAAACAATTTAAAGTCTGTTTAATTTTTATTATTAATAAACTTCGCGTGTGCATGCTCATGAGCAAAAGATTT